TTAACCCCAATGGGCAATGACAATGAGATATTGCTGGTCACTTTCGATCCAGCTTGAATTCTCTGCCTCGTGTCTAGGTTTTCATTCCCAGTTATGCTGTCTCTGTCTGTGGCAATGAATGGAATGTTTCCAATCTCCTTTGACAGGATAAGTCGTTTCAGCTTAAAGAGATCCCCTTGTGCACAGCACCGGGATCCTGTTAAAACTACCCTGGTCACACTTGCTCAGGGGCCCCTGGTGGCTCGTCCCACGCCCGTGTTCTGTGTGAGCCACATTGTGAGAGTACCTTTAACTGCAGAACTCAACCCACTTTCCTGAATTTATTCGGCCAAAAACATTACTTCTTGAAGAAGAGAAAAACACAAACCAAGCAAAAAATGAAATAAACTAGAGCAAAAGCCCATTTTCTTATTCCTCTTTATCCTTTTTCTATTGCAAGGTATTTCAAAGTTAAGATCTTCAAACAATTAAGGCATGAGGGTACACTGTCACCAGTTTTTGGTAAATACACCGATTGTATGTTCTAAAGTACTTGGCATAAATAAGTGAAGCTAAAATACGAAATTAAACCATGTATTTATCTGTTCGTTTTTAAATTTTTAAACAACAACAAAAAATTTAGTGGGACTACTGAAATGTAACATAGTTTTAGAGGCATCAAAAGCTGTTCCATAACAGTCACGTGTTGTAAAGAAAATAAAATGTGAGGCACAATTTGATGTCTTCTAACTAACATTCACTCGATATCAATCACAGTTTACTGTAACCCTTGTCTTATCAGTAGGATTCATTAGAATGCTATTCCTTAACTCTGAGTGCTTATCTCTGAGTCAGGTCTCTGAGCTGGGCTGCTGTATGCTCTGCTACCCGGTTAGCTCCAGAATTTCAGGTCAACTTGGCTGTTTAATTTCTCTCTGGCTTGCTCCTCCCAGATTCTTCCATTTCTCCCTCCATTTCAGTCAAAAACAGAGTAAACAACTTTATTTTGCCATTTCTATTTCTTTACCACCTGGGAACAGTCTGTAACTTTTCCAACAATTGGACTTAAAATGGCTTTCACAAAAATGATGTTTTTTTTTTTTTTTACTTATGTCTAAACTCTTAACATGGAAGAGATTCATTCAGAAAATGCAATTTTATAAAAGTGAACTCTAAGAAACAACGGTGATATAGCACATCTTATATTTTCCTGGTCTAGAGCTGGAACCCATACTACTAAGTGAAGTTTCCCAAGAATGGAAAAACAAGCCCCACATGATACTCACAGCAAAACTGGTATTAACTGAGCAGCACCTAAGTGGACACATAGGGACTACAGTAATAGGGTATTGGGCAGGGGGGAGGGGGGCGGGTGTATACATGCATAATGAGTGAGATGTGCACCATCTGGGGGATGGGCATGCTGTAGACTCAGACTTGTGGGGGGGAGGAGGGGAAAGGGCATTTATTGAAACTTAAAATTTGTACTCCCATAATATGCCGAAGTAAAAAAAAAAAGATAAGTTCTGGGGATCTAATGTAAAAAAAATAAAAATAATAAATAATAAATAAATAAAAGCGAGCTAGAATGGCCTTTGAGTCGTGCTCACTGCAGACCCAAGAATGCAAGGACGGGCCACAGCCCCTAAGGGAAAAGGGACATGCAAATGTGGAGAGAAGTGTATGAAAAATTTATTTTCTGGATTTGCCTGCATTTTAGCATCTGGTGATAAATATCTGAGTCAGAGGTAGAAAGAAAGACATGCTAGGGAGAGACAGGAACACTGGGTTAAGTTAGCAACTACAAAGTTGTGGGTTTGAATTTTTTACTTTTCTTCTTCACTTTATAGGAAGAGAGAACAAATGAATATGCATATAGTAGGCTCACCTAATCCAGGGGGATGACACTTAATCTCCCCAGGACTCTCCTGCTGGCTTGGGGTGCAGGGGAGAGGAAGATAAGAAAGTGAAAGGTGAGGAGATAGAAGGGTTCAAGGGACAGGAGAAGGATGAAAACAAATTTAGGGAGGGAAGGAGCCAGGGGAGAGAGATCTCACCTAAAATGCAGCAAATGCCTACAATCAAAAGTTTGAAAATAAGACCATTGGGAGAAGCACTTTAAAAAGCCACATTTTTTTTTTCTTCAATACAGGGGCAGATGAGGAGAAGAAAAAGCTAAAACGAGAGGCATGGATGACAGCAAGACAGAGGAAGAGGCCAAACCTCCCTCCTAATCGTCTGCCCGAGTGCTGAGAGCATTTCTTACTAAAGTGTGACGCTCCAGCTGAACCCAAATTCCTGGCATTGGGAAGCAGCCAGCCTTAGGAGAAACACAAATCTTGTCTTTTTCCTAAAGTGAAGAAAAATCCTGTGTTTTTGTATGAGGTCTCCTCCATCCTGAATAACTTGGACTCTTCTTCCTTCCATTTCCTGGAAGAGGATCATAATAACCGCAAACCTGCCCATAGTTGACCAAAGTCTGTTGGAAGACCCTGACTCTTGTCCTCCCAGCCAGTCCTACCACCCATCAGCCACACACGCCCCCGGAATTCTTCATCGCAAAGTTTGCAGACAATCTGACATGATAAGGCTGGAAAATGCTACAAAAGATAGTTCCCTAACCACAGAGAAAAGAGGGATATTTAATAAATGGTGCTTCCAAGATTGACAATCTGCTTGGGAAAAAAATAAATAACGTTAGACTCCTATGTCACCCCATATATGAAAATTCTCAATGGATTTAAGAGCAACAAAAGAAAATGGAGAATCTGGGGTTATTTGAGAATTGGGAAGACCTTCCTTAATAAGATTTTTTTAAAAAAAGAAACCTAGAAGCTGTTTTTTAAAAAAAAAATAAAGAGAGAGAGAGAGAGAACAATATTGAATAGGAACATTGTAATCTTGTTTAATCTAGTTAAAATAAGTTACTTATTGGTGCAATGGGTTGTTAAAATATAACGACATGGCACGGCAAAAGTAGTCATTCAAAAGTCGATAAGTGGGTCTGATGTTTTGACACTATCAGTGGCAATGAAATACGATTGGACACTATGAACATGTCCATGTGTCCCTGCACTGCCCTGAGTTTGCACCTGTCCCAGGTCTCTCACCCCCCTGAGTTTCATGGCTGGCTATTCTGACAAACATGGGTTCACCAGAGGGCCCCAGATTATGTATTTCTCAGTCTATTTTTAACAATCTCAAAAGTCGCCAGCTTATAAGACAGCTTGTGTGTGTACGTGTGTGTGTTATCTGAGAATTATCTGTGTCATGAATAAGAGAAGGAATGAGCAATTAGACTCAAACCCAGAAGTTCTTATTCCTAAGACAGTTGTGGTAATCATCCATTCTATTTTTTTACTATGCATACATTTATTGGTTTGTAAAGTATAAACATTTTGTGAAACTATTCTTTATAACTGCAGGAGGCGAGTGGTGGTGAGTGAGCAACATAAATAAATGTTGCCCATAAATGCAACACCCTGGAATCATCCCCAAACCACCCCCCAACCCGGGCTTGTGAAAACTTGTCCCCTGGTACCAAAAGGTTGGGGACCGCTGCTTTATAAGAAGAAAAAACAACCACGTGGAATTGTGTCTGATTCCTCCTCCTCCAGTTTAGCGATGAGAAAATGATGGTATGGTAAACGCAGCCTTGCAAAGAGATCCCTTCGAGTTTTTCGATATTTTTTAATAAAATGACATCAATTGCCGAAAGCATTATGACTTTTGTTATGCGCTACATAATACTGATACAAAACGTGAATGGTACAAAGTCCATTAGTATATAAATATAAGCTTTATATTACATTTGTTTCTACATAAACAGACTATAAATATATGTGCCATAGCATGTTTTATAGTCATTGTTCCCAGTACTTCACACTATGTACCAAATGAAAAACACATTTTCTTTTTTTTTTTTTTAAAAAAAAAAAGGAAAGAACAAGGGCGAAAAAAAAAAAAACAACAGTAGAAATAGCTCTATATGTTAAATCTAAAATAATACAATAGATGTTGTTATAATTTGGGCTATAAAGGAATTTTTGAAATCTGGCTAATAATCATTCAGAGAGTGAACAGAAAACCCAAACAGGTTTGCTGGAGTGTAGACGCCAAGTAATAAATACTGGAGGAGGGTCGTGGGCGAGCAGGCCGGGGGGGGAGGAAAAAAAAAGGGTAAATTCCTTCCTGCAACTTGACACCACAGCTGGACGCTGGACTGCTGCATTCAGTCCAGGCATTATGACATGGGGAAGCCCATGTGGGCGTCATGCAGAAGGAGCCAGAAGCTGGTCTACGCCGTCAGGCTCTTCCGATCGCAGGCAACCCGGCTGAATGTCCTTTCTTTGTGGCGCTCTGGATAAAGATCGGCCTGGGAACAAGCAGCCAGAGCCGCCTCATTTCCTTCCTGGGGGCCGGCCAGGACACACGTAAGGGTCCGGAGGAAGGCTCATTAAGAGTCCGGAAACAGCACAGGAACTCTCCTTTAGCCCAATGCGAAGATCACGAACCTTCTAAACCAGAACCCCCATCCGACCCTTTGCGTTTCCTGGCAGCCACATGCCCACGGCCACCAGAGCCAGCACGATGTCCTTGCGGGCTCCACGACTCTCTCAAAGCAAGCCAACGTCTTCCTTTCCATCAGTGCAAACCCACACTTAAGACTTGGCTGAGACCAAAGCCCAAATCAAAGCCTCCCAGACGGACTCCGGCCCTACCATGTCCCCACCTTCAGCACTAAAGCCGTGCGTCGCCCTGTCCCTCTTCTAGTTTAGCAAAGTGCCAGCTCCCAGGTCTCCACTTCCTGAGGACGGAGCGTGCCTTGATCGTTTCTTTGTTCGAAACCCACTGGAGACCCACAAGCCGGGGCCATCACACATGTTGTTCAATGAATGAAAAGAAATCGGGTCAACACTGAGCAGACGTAACAGACACATTCTTGGGTCACAAGCATCTTCTCAGGAAATGCCTAAAGACTGGCTCCCTGCAGTCCAAGGTCCTTTTTTTTGAAATGAAAATCAAATGTGGCCACTTCCCGGCGATGAGAGAACGACATTGACGATCAGAGCAGCACCTCTTGCGGGGCATCCAGGAGCTGGGGAGGCAGGGGGTCGGGTGGACTCCTTTAAACAGGGGGAGCTCAGTGCGTTCCCAGCGTCGGGCTGCAGGATCCGCCCAGGCGCCCGCACCATCTCCACCAGCTTCAAAAGTCCGCTCCTCGCTGAGCACACGGTTGTGTCCGTGTCGTCCGAGTGGTACCCGGACTGGTAGCCGCTCGTGGTTGGAACCCTCAGATGCCACGGACTCCCTGCTTTTGCTGGGCACCAACCCGCTGCGGGAGAAAGGGCACACAGATGAGCAGGCAGACAGGAGACGGTTCTTTTTGCTTCTTACCCGCCCCCCATGCCCAGCTCCACGCAGGGGCTGTGATCTGTCTTTCCTCCGGGGACTCCAGCCACCTAGCTCTGCCCCCCACCCCCAACCCCAGTTGCAAGTCAGCACATCAGGTTTACTCCGACAATGTCTATTTCCAGGTACTCTCGAATGGATTAGCAGTTGCAGATAAGTCCTCTCATTGAGGGCCAAGTCTTCCAAGCCCGGGAGGAGATGAAAGGCAGTTCTTCTGGGTTATGCAAAGTGGAACATTTGCACCACCAGGGGAACATTTGTACGGTCTCGAAGATTGACAAGTTTGTATACAAAGACAGGAGCCAAAGGGGCCACTTTCAGGGCAGTCAAGGAAATTGGGATGTTCTGAAAGTTCGCCTGTGCTTTCCCCTATTCCGTCCATTAGGGGGCTACAAGGTATGCATATGGCGTTAATAAAGTTCTTGAGCAACTTGAATAACTTGAAGCGTGTGAGCGATCAAGCCAGACATGTCAAACACTGCTTTATACTCGTCAAAACCACATTCTTTGGAAGGACTAAGGACCCCAATCACTCAACAGCAACCAGAGAATGTTTTCAACGGCCTGGAATCCTGACAGAGGTAATCATGTCAAAGCTTGGAAATGTACCCTGTGTTGATCTAAAACTTCAGGATTTACATGTTCTCAAGCCATTGGAGGGTGTTTTTCCCCCCTAATAGGTATTTTATCCAAATTATTCATATTGAAAACTACAAAAAAGATATATATATAACCTTAACATTTGTACCCCCATAATATGCTGAAAAAATAAAAATTAAAAAAAAACATAGGAAAAAAAAACTACAAAAAAGGATTTTATGAACTTTGTGTTCATATGTGGTTTAAGTTACTTCAAATAACTAGAAATACAATTTTTCTTTCAATCCAATCTCAATAAAACTAGTTTAGGTGTTTCAAGCAATGGCATGGCCTCTGGCACATAGTAGTTGCCGAATAAATATTTTTTTTGAGTCATCGAATGAAATATATGATTGGCTCTCACAATTTCTTATCTTGGGCCTTAAAGAAAACAGTAAAATTGCACAATGGCGTATTTTAAACTTTGTGTGTGTGTATCACTAGATTCTAAAAATATATAGAAAAATTAGCTGGGCATGGTGGCACATGCCTGTAGTCCCAGCTACTTGGGAGCTGAAGCAGGAGGCTCGCTTGAGCCCAGGAGTTTGAGGTTGCTGTGAGCTAGGCTGACGCCATGGCACTCTAGCTTGGGCAACAGAGTGAGACTCTGTCTCAAAAAAAAAAAGAAAATAGATGTATAAATAAGCCAATATCTATTTAAGATACTTAAATATTATTGTCTGAATTAAATTCTTAATTGTGGGGAAAGTATTAAATTTGGTTTTGAATATAATCCCCGATATATGGTTCAGTAGGAATCTGTAGTTGTTTTGAATAGATGTACCTGCTTTTAACCTAACAAATACATGAATATCTATAAGAATAATAGGATAAGAGTAGTAATTTCTTTGCTACATGGCTCATTCTAAGTGAGAATTTAATTTGATCTAATCTGTTATAAAAAATGGGATACCCATGAGTGTTTGAGTGATACACACACACAAAGTTTAAAATACGCCATTGTGCAATTTTACTGTTTTCTTTAAGGCCCAAGATAAGAAATTGTGAGAGCCAATCATATATTTCATTCGATGACTCAAAAAAAATATTTATTCGGCAACTACTATGTGCCAGAGGCCATGCCATTGCTTGAAACACCTAAACTAGTTTTATTGAGATTGGATTGAAAGAAAAATTGTATTTCTAGTTATTTGAAGTA